TGGTATTTGGAGAATATATATCCCGAGAGTTCGATGCCTTTAGACTACTATTCTTTAGGAGACATTAAAAACATTGAAAACAATAACTGTTTGGATACTTATGGCCGCAAAAGTGGTGAGAACTTAGCGATGACTCAATGCCACGGATTAGGAGGCAATCAGGTGTTTGCGTATACGAAGAGAAAACAGATTATGTCTGACGACAACTGTTTGGACGCATCGGACGCCAAGAGTTCAGTAAAGTTAATGCGATGTCACGGAATGGGAGGCAATCAGATGTGGATTTATAGCGAATCCAAAAAAGCTATTGTACACAAAAATACTGATCTTTGTTTGGATAAAGCGGATCCCAAGAAGGACTCGACTCTACCGGTGCTTAAGCGCTGCGACGGCAGGAAATCACAGAAATGGCAAATGAATAGTAACTTTAAATGGCAGACATCGAAGCAGGAGATAAGACAAAGTGATGACGAGTCCAATAATTATGGATTATAACAGCTCTTCCAAAGTCTTATTAATACTGCAAATGAATTGAATGTGAAATGAAGTCAAGAAATGNGCGCTGCGACGGCAGGAAATCCCAGAAATGGCAAATGAATAGTAACTTTAAATGGCAGACATCGAAGCAGGAGATAAGACAAAGTGATGACGAGTCCAATAATTATGGATTATAACAGCTCTTCCAAAGTCTTATTAATACTGCAAATGAATTGAATGTGAAATGAAGTCAAGAAATGTGGCAAAAGTTGATGCAATCATTGCTCACTCAAAGAGTTCTCATTATTTGAATCTAAAATATTTACAAACTTTAAATTATTTCCAATTTCGTGCCTTAACTTCAAATTTACAATACACTAAAGACTACATAATTTCACAACACGTTTGTTAAACTTTTATTATTTTTATTAATTTATTTATTTTGCAATCATTTACTTAATAGGAAATTGTTTACAAATTTATATTTTTATAATTAATTTAAATGAAAATGTGTTTAATTAATATATTTTATACAAAATAAAACTTTTTGACTGTTGAGACAAAATTTAAACACAATTTAAACAATTTGTGCCAAAACTTTGAACCAAAACTTGTGTGAAGCGAACGTCGTTTATGTATTGCCCGTAATATCCGTATCCGTCGGCCATTAGTGTGTTTTGAATGCATTTGTGAATTGATTTCACTTTCTTTGTCTGAAAGACAAACCATTCACTGATAGCTTGTTATCATCAAAACCACCACCACTTTGACCACCACTTTGACCATCACTTGTGTCCACCAATCAATTGATTCAATTCGTGCACAAAATGAGTGATCGAGAGGTTTGTTTGAATGGCTTTTGTTTTGTTTTTGATGACAAAACCGAAAGTTATTTACATTTTGTTTGTTTTGCTTTCGACTGAAGTATTCATTGATCTCTTTGTGTCTCAGGAATCGGCTGAACGTCAGGAGAATGGTTCGCATCGCTCTCATGAGTCCAATCGGAGTCCTTCGGGTCGCGGCTCTAAGTCTCCCCGACGCTCGCGAACCCACTCGCGGTCTCCCCGTCCGACCGCCCGCTCCCGTTCCCCACGCAAGAGATCCCACTCCCGATCCAGGAGTCGATCACATTCTCATCGATATAGTCGCCACCGAAGAGATCACTCGAAGTCACGCTCAAGAAGTCCGCGATCGCGGAGAGGGTAAGGATTTGTTGGATCTTTTGAACCATTGAACCAAATAATGATTGAATGATTGCTTTGTATGGACGCAGAGGTCGTGATAAAGACAGTTATGAACGGAAGTCCCGTTACGACAGTAGCGGCAGTCATCACGAGTCACGCTCCAGACATAGAGACCACTCCAGGTCTCCAATGTCTTCGCGGAGACGACACATTGGGAACCGAGAGAACCCACCGACTGGTACTTGTCTCGGGATTTTCGGGTTAAGTATTTACACACAGGAAAGGGATCTGAAGGATGTGTTCACTAAATACGGGCCCTTAGAAGACGTGCAGATTGTTTACGACGCACAGAGCGGCCGCTCCAGAGGTTTCGCGTTTATCTACTATGAAGACAAAAACGACGCGGCGATGGTATGCCATGACATGAGATC